CAGATAGATTTAGCGCTCTTGCTAACATTTTAGACAGAGTTCCGAATTGTGCAGCTTTGCCTTCTAAGTACTTTCTCCCGAGTTCCTGGCGAACAGTTGCTGCACAGAGGATACATAAAGGTTTGGAAATCGAGGTCGTTGGATCTAAACATGACTCGCTAGCTCAACACTGGTCCTTTAATTAGTAGCGCCATCGCGGCAAATTGCTGTGTTGGTTCACTCTACTTTCATCCTCAATGCATGCGGGAACCGGCCTCCAGCGATTTCAGCGTCGGCAATTGTCGATCGCCACTGGATTTCCAACCTCCCGCTGCTGCATACAGGGAGACTTCCCAACGCGCCAACTTTGGTCTGTACAGGTGAAACGGCGACGAGTCGGGCAAACGCTGAATCAGCAGGGCCTGTTTTTTCGATCTCCAATCTATAAGAAAATATGGAAAAATAAATAAATAAAAAATAATTAATATGAAAATTTATAATATACTACTAACAAATAATATCACATGAATGATATAAACTCTATGCCTGATAACCATTAAACGGCAGCTCCCACAGAGATGATCCTGAGCCGGAAGAGATTTGGCGAAGCGGAATGTCCGACCTGTAGTGGTGAGTCGTGAATGACGGTCACGTCGATGAGCACTTTTACTTCCATACTTGGAAAGAAAATAAGACGTGGTCATTATTAGTCTCAGTGTTTTTGGGATAGTGGTTCCACTCACACAGATGATTTCTGGCAACGCTTAATTTCACGATTCGCTCAGGTTTTGTCAGTTTCTCAAAAAGTTTATGAGTAAATCGCAACACTTATCAGTCTTGCCTTCATGAGAAGAAGTGCTCCGGTCGCGGTGGTTATACATTATATTTCTTGGATCGTCTACATACACAAATGCAGCTTTTTTATGTAGGCCTCAGCGTCTCATGCTTGAGCCATGGTGACAAAAGAAGACAGTTTGAGGGAAGGCTTCAAAGGCAAGCATTCCCAAGACGTTTAGTATTAATACGCCTAGCAAGATAGAAATCAGCGCCTTTGAGCAGGCGCTATGAGGTACCCTTACCAAGGAAACCACCCTTATAGTGCCTATCAAGCTGCAACATAGCCGACACGGACGCCCACCGCGCCCGGTGGCCTCAAATGTTCCGACTGCTGATACTCGTATCGCTTCATTTGCGAAGTGCAATATGAAGCGAAGGGATTGATATGAAGCGGCTGCGGTGCTGCATGGATATATGAGTACATACATGCAGCCGTATCTACCGTAGCGGTTATGGCACGATGCCAACGGGAAACTCGTCCGAAATTGCTTTCTGAGTCGTGTGGAACAAAGGCTTTTTTGCAGGTTTTTGACCGTTTCACTTCGCTTTTCCTCCATTTTCGCGCTACATCCCAGCACCCTGATAACATTTTAGACCGAGTACTAGATTATCGTGCCATATGCCTTCAATGGTGCCGACGGTACGAGGCGCAGTTCTTGTCCATTTTGCAAAAGAAATAGGGGAAAGGCAGTTAATAGAAAGAGTATCACCTTGAGTAATACTGCTCATATTATCGACCACACTGCTTCAGATCATAAACAAGTATTTTAAGTTATTATGACTTTCCCGTCGACATAATGTGGCTTTTTTTGTTTATAGTATGCCTTCATAAAGTAGGCATTCGGCGAGCAAAGCGAGATGTGGTCGTGAAAGGTGAATCGCTCAAAAAAGCAGTGAATGATGTTGTTGAAACCCATACCCATCTTGTCACCACCTAAAGAAGACGATTTATCGAAATGGCTTTTTTTGAGACCATAAGAGAGAGAAAGTCATTGTTCCTACAGATTGAACTTTACACTAGAAGCGTCTGTTCATTAAAGAGTTACGAGATGAAATTCTCTCAATCATGCAGGGCAATGGTCATTTTTTTCTTCAAAGAAACCTGTCCAATTTGATAGACATCAGATTTCGACCATTCAGTCATTGTCTCTGGTTGAGACAAATCCAAGCTAATCTACATATCTCTCACGAAATTGCGAAAATGCATTGTGAAGTTCGCACTTCAATGATGCTCATCCTTCACCATGCGAGAACGCACAATACATGCCTCGCTAATCTTGTTTGAAAAGACAGCTCTCACTAGGAGGGGTCTATTACAGTAACCTAGATAAACACGATAAGTTCCTCATAAAGCGCTTTTTAGACTGTCTTATTCGCAAACAATGCGATTACCAGTCGAAGGTGGTATAAAAAGCTGTTTCTCCTACATGAAGAATTCATTCAATCACAACATTTTTCCAGCATCTAGAATTGCTCCTACGTGATCCCGCTGGTCAATACAACATTTTACTTTCTCTGATGGAATTCATGAAATTACCTGCCCAGCACCGTTTTGGAAGCGGGTGACTCTGACCTTTGCAAACTTTCTTCTAGGAGGGTTAAAGATCACTTTCGCAGGATCTGATATGCTAGCTGTGAAAGCTACCTCGCAATAGTGAGAGCAGTTTGGCTCGACACCAAACGTGCTCCCACTACTGGAGGTTGCGGCGGAGAGGGGAGCACCCAAACGCGTACGCCAGAGAAGTTTTTGTCAAGGCACAGCTAAATTTTCACCAACCACGTGGGCCAACCTTGTACTATTTCGCAGCTCACAGGGAGGTTTTACAAGTAAGGGATCTCCATATACACGGACCCTGCTTACTTAACACTGAAGTCAGCAAATGAACTAAAAAATGGCAGGTGCCCCACAAACAGAGAGAGCATCCAAAATGTCAGCACTGCTTCGTAACGTTATGAGGTGCAGAAAGTCCCGAGACGTTCTGCTTCCTACTAGTGTTACAACCGCAACAGTGCATTGTCCCTCAAGAAACGGGAGAATGGAGAGTTGGAGAAGGGACCGAGGAGACCAAAGGTGAGACGATGTGTTCGCTTCGTGACTGTCACGTGTTGGCCGATTGCCAATTAGGCTATGCTGTCGCTTCCAACAGCTGGATAATGTCTCGACATCCAAAACCCAGTAATATTGTGAGACCTGCTTGTAATCCACGCCACATTGGTGAAGATTCAAAGGGTGGTCTGAACATACTTCGCTGAGTACCAGTGGAGCTCCCTCCCGACCTAGCCCACCCATTTGCGGAGGATTGGTGCCATGCATTGGCCGACCCCGGTGGGGGGTGAGCCGCGCGCGTGGACTCGCGCCCTTGGACTCGACGTCATCGCTGCCTGCGTCACAGCCGAGTCCACACGCAAGCGCGCTCACCCGCCCCACCCGCGTCTGCAATGATGAGACCTTGTAGCAACCCCGCCTAATTTTGCAACAATTGGCCGGTTGCGACGGATTAATCGTCCGCAAACCCTCGCTGTTGCCATAACTTTTGAAAAAAATGTTCTGCGGTCTTTGACTGTCATTTTCGAGGAAATCTGCGTTAAGTCTCTTATTACCTGGAGTGGTACCTGGGGACACGTCCGGTCGTACACTTTCCAGTCCAAATGAGAGATTCAGTTTGAGCGCTTAAAAGTCACAAATACGGTCATATTCAGAAAGAGCTGCGACCCACAACGACACGCTGGCAGGAGGCGCAGTCAAGGCAGCAAGTTGAGTACTTAATTCAATAGAAGGGTAGGCCACTTCGTATCCATGTCGTGCAAAAGCGCGAGAACAACTGCTTTGAAGATAAAACCTCATCACACCGACTAGCTCCCCTAGTTTTAGATTCTCCCACATCGTCATCAGAACGTTTACTCTTGAATGCCATAAATGTTCTTCATGTACTTCAGCCCCATCCAAGTAAAGTTTGATGAACAGATTTTTGGTTTCTTACACATTTTTCAGCTGCTGTGGGTCTTAATATTTATTGCTCCACATTGTCATCATCTATGCGCCGTTCTGAGCAGTACTTCACAAATTTTTCACAGCGAAGAAGAAGGCCGCCTAGGTGCTTTGACGCCGCTTTGGTGCCCATAACCAGTTTCCTGTTCGATGATGATTGAGACGCTGAATTCGACTGAATGTTAACACTCTGGAGACAAATAACAGCCGTGACCCATGTGTAAGACATTGTCATAATCTATGTCATCGGTGTGATAGGCTGCTCTCACTCCCGATAATATCTGCTAAGAAGTGACTTCGCTCAGCCTAAGTGCAACTGACATCCTATTCTCTAACGCTGGCCATCTTAATCAGAAGACAGCGAGCTCTCAGATAGCGATTCTCTTGTTATGCGCCTTCTCACATTATGATTTCTAGACACGAAGACGACTACTCGGTGCTCTTTTCGGCTGACATGATCGTGTGTCTCTGCGCCAATCTAGCCCCATAATCAGCAGTGGACGTGCTGGTTTATTAAGACTTATCATGTGAAATCAGCCTACTACTGCTGATCTCACTTCACAGTAGATTCTGAACTTTATGGTCCAGTGATGGCGCAGTTCGGCGACGGGTTAGAAGGGATGGCGGGGGGGAAGGAAAGGGCATTCTACTCTTTCACTGCTCGCGCTAGTTCCGGTTTGACATGCTTACCTGAGATCAACCTGCGAATCCCAAGAAGCTGGAAGCAACATCCGAGCCACAGTGGTGAAACCCTCACGAAAAGTTCTCTACAGAAGGTGTCAGCAAGTCGATCGGACTCGTAAAAAAGTGGCAAAAATCACCCCCCCCCCATTGCCGAATGCAATACCGCAACTCCAACCATTTGCCGGCGCCCATCGTCGTGTGTTGTGCTTTACAAGAGCGACAGTAATTTTTTCAAGAGTTAACAAGAAGTCTCCACAAGCATCGATGTCACTTCGTGGCTTTACAAGATTGCTCAGATCTCTATTTGTTGTTTTACCCCCGACAGACGACGAGAGCAAAGATGTGATAGAGCAAGATGCCCCCCTAAGCCGAACTGTGCCCACTTTCTTGTAGTAACTGCCTGCCTCTATCATATGACAATGACTAAGATTGCGTGTGTACTTCATTCGGAACGGTTTGAATGTCGTCGTTTTCAATATGAGACCAAAAAATAGGGTCTTATTCAGGGCAGATGCTCCGGCTGTTGTTCATCTCGGCTTTCATCGTTGCTGTCAGCAATGCACAGATGGTTCCTCAATGTACGTGCGCCCAGATAGAGCCATGCATGCGCATCGATCCGGACTCGATCTTCAAATGCGGCGAACAATGTCGGGTAATGTGCCGTTGGGCCAAATAGGCTAATAATATTCAATTTAATACTCTGGTCCATTTACCTTTTATTGCGTTACCTCCTGAACAGGCTATTTTTTCTAATCTCTGGGTATTTGTTCTACTCTATCGTGAAATGCATACAGGGGAGGGGGGGGGAGGGGGGAAAAGACACTTTTCTGCTCGACTCTCAAGGTGAATTACACCTACTCCTTATTAACTTGCTATTAGACATTTTCTCCATAGTACAACAATGAGTTGCACCCGACCACGAAACTACGCCACCTCCTTCTGGACGAAGCCATCGAGAGATTCTGCCACGCGACCGTGATTCGGTGCCTGAGTTCAGCGAGGTCGTTGATTTCTCCGCCACTGTAGACCACCCTGTTGAGCTCCGCCCGAACCGGGTAATTGAGGGGGTTTAGGTCAGGTGACACACTTGGATATTCTTCTTCTTCAGGTACTCAACGCCCTTCCATTCCAAGTAGGCGAGAGTTTTTCCAACGCCCTTGCTGGCACCCAATCCTGTAGCAGTACGAAGTTTCCAAGATGGTACAGGCGACGACATGAAGGCAGGATATTCTCCTCGAGTTGGTCGATGTAACCGTCAGCGCTCACTTTCAGTCCGGGGTCCACGAAGAAAATATCGGTCTTCCCATTCCATTCTATTGATAGCCAGAGTCAGCTGCACGACGTGGGTGTGGTACTAAACATACCAGGGCAATTTTAGTGCTAAAAAATGAACTGTGACGTTGAATACTAAGACATTACCAAATCACCCATTCATGGTCATCATTTCATTGTTAGGTGGTGTAATGTGAAAAGAAAATTTATTTCAACACTGGAACCGTTCTGCGAAACAATGGTGTGTAAACAGAGCGCTAGATTAATGGGAAATGAAGAATCAACAAAAAATGATGGACAGTACAATGTATTTGGTAAACTTGATTGTACTTAAGGCGACGTTTTCGATTAATGACCGGGGAGAATCGCTTAAGAGGGTTGAAAAAATAGGAACACGCGTTTGACCACAAAGTAATGGCCTTGTTTACTGATTACACTCGCTGTTCACAGATCTAGCCATTTGGTGGGAAAAAGTCTTGCAAAGGTGAAAAAAATTAGGCTTTCTTAGACGGTTTTTCGAATAGCAACAGAAACGCACACCTTAATGAGGTCCCAGTTA